AATACCCATCTTCATCTCTTCTGTTTACCTCCACACCGATTTTCATGTCGCTGGCCAATAGCTTGGCATTCATGAACTGGTCGCCTTTCAGCGGCAACATAACTAGCTGACAGTCATTCATAATACCTTCAATCACTGAGCTAAACCCTACATGTAAATGTGTGCATCAAAATTCAATTCCATTAATTATTTTTAACTAAAATATTTCGATTCGATCAATAAATAATTAAAGATTTTAAAGAATTTTAGTTGTTAATTTGGTTCAAAAGTGTGATAGTCGAATTGATATTAAACACACTAGTATTTTATATGCGTGATGTGTAAAAATATATGCCCAATATTTTTTTGGTGGGTAAAAAAATATATGCCAATATTAATAGTTAATGTTAAAATCTTACTTATATTAAAATATTTTTTTAAGTAAGAATATATAATTTTTTTTTTTAATTTATAGTTGTAGAATTGAATTCATAGTTGGTAAAATCAGCCTATCATGTCATCATTGAAATACAAATAATTATGATATGATTAATATTATTAAAGTAAAAATTTTAGATATGATAATTTACTAAATATAATTATGGTAATATATAATTAAAAGGTAAATGGAATCAAATTTATTTCTTATTAAATTACTCTGATATATAATTTCTACACAGACGCATTATAATCATTGAAAAATATATAAGAAAAGCTATTGGGTATGCATATGCAGTAATAATAATGAGAAAATATAATAGAAGTTATAATGGTAGGAATATTTTTGTCCAAGCAAGTGTATAGTAAAACTCTTATAGTATAATGTATAAAAAAAATTATAAAAAAAAAAACATAAATCAATGGTGTAACCTTTAATGAGAAATAGGTAATTAAATTTTATGACGTGTGTTTATGGGTGAATTGGTGGTTAGGTTGATGGTTTCATGTGTCGGACAATAATGGGATTGTGACTTGACAAGGCACAATAAGGTACCTTATTCATAATTTTGTATTTTTAATATTAAAATTGTGAATATTTAGAATATAAATTGTGTTTCTAAATTTTAGGAATTTATAAATACTATACATGATCATCATAAATTGTGAATTTTTAAAAGATAAACAGTGAATATTTAGTATGTAAATTGTGTATCTTTGATCTCGGATCCACATTTCACAGAATAATTTCCCACAATCAGGTAGTGTTAATTAATAGATGGAAAATATTATTTACTCCTAACTTTTATTCATCACTCTCACAAATTTTTAATATAAATATTTTTTGGGGTATATATAATATTTTTATTTGTCACATCATGAAATAAAAGTGAGGTGGTAGACTTTCCGAGTTAGAACTCTTTAATAGACAAAGAAAAGATGGATGTTAATTACCTGCATGGCAGACGTAGCATCCCACGCTGCTGTGAGCTAGGATCTGCTGCTGCTGCACCCACCCTGAATGGATGATCCCTCTTCCCTTCACCCTCTCCGTGAACCCTGCCGGAAGGGCCCGGTTCAGCTCGGTGGCCACGTCAACATTGGCCGGAAAGTTCAGCACCAGACAGAATGGAAGGCCGGTGAGTTCCAATCCTAGGGCCAGTTCTTTAATCTGATCGTCTTTCAAGAACGTTTCGCTCCCAAAAGAGCAGTATATTACAGTGCTGGGTTCAAACTGGCTTAGCCAATCAGCCCATTTCTGGTCTAGCACGCCGGAGGCCGGCTCCGGCACCACCGGACCGGCGAGTAGAAAAGGTTTCTTGAAATGGGATTTCACGTAATCTATATACGGCGCTTCCATTTCGTAACAGGTCTTTGCTAGTATGGCGGAGCAGCCTTTTAGGACGGCTAGAACGCGGTCATACACGGAGGCGCCGTTATGGGGTCTCTTGAAGATGATCACAAAATCTCGAGCTTCAAAGGTTCTCAAGGAAGCGACGGAAGTCGGAGGAAAACCCGGCGGCGGTTTCTTCATTTCTTCGACGGTGGGGGATCTTTCGGGGCCGGGAAGCCTGGCGGGGACGGAGGCGAAGGCGGTGAGCAGTGTAAGATAAACGCAGTAAAACATGGATTTAATCCCGAGCTCCGCCGCGAGGGCGGAATCCAATCATGGGCAAAATCAAAGATCACAAAATGGGGTTTGAGTTTAACGAGAAGCGCCTTGATTTGAGGTTGCATGAGGTTGAGAGCCCCCGGGAGTAGCTCCGCCGCTTCCCGCGGCAAGTCGGCGGTGCTCTGAGCTCCCGGAGGAAGGCCCTCCACGGCGGGGAGCGTGAGGGGAACTATCTGAGTAAGTGGATTGGAATTCAACATGGATTTAATCCGGTCGATATTTCCGGCAGCGGAGAAGAAAGAAACCTTGACTCCATGAAGGGATAGCTTGTTGGATAGCTGCACAAATGGGCTTATATGACCAAATGCAAAAAATGGGAACATCACAACATGAAGAAGATCATCACCATGATTATTTGTAATCTCCCTCTCCATTATTCTTGATTTTCCGGTCGCCACTCTACTTTTTCCAGGAAGTTCTTCACCCTTATATATATACCACACATTCCATGTTTTGTAATTAATTAGCTGGACTATTTGCAGAAAAGTGGTTGATAAATTTGCTTTACTTTTAGAGCAAAAAATATCAATTTTGGACCGGGAGTATTTAGTAAAATGACAATTTTGGTTTTATAAATTCATGTGAATTTTCATCACGACTATTATTTTAGTATTTATTTTCATCCAGATTTTTTTTTATTTTTATGAAGATATCCATGATTATTGTTTTAGTGCAAAAATTCATCACATTGGTCAAGAACAAAAATAAAAAAATGAATAAGATCGAACAAGATTTACTTGGTTCGGTTGTTTGCCTACATCCACAATATGATAGGAAAGGAAATCTTTAACTTCATATTAATTATGATAATATATAATACATCCAAGGTTACAAGTATCAATCCACAACAAACATAGTACATTCTTACACATAATTCACTTTTATTCACTCTGCCATAAATCAAACCACAATCAATATTGTTTCATTTAGTTCATGGTAGCCATTGCATATCCCTCATGACCTTAACCAAATCCTTGATGAAGTTGCTTTGAATCTCTTTATCAAGCAAAAACTCTTTCCACTTTGCCTGATTTGTCCTTGTTGATGCTCCTTCTTCCTCCACGATTGTCTGCACAGCTTTCTGAATATCCTCTTTCTAGAAATATCCATCTTCATCTCTTCTGTTTATCTCCACGCCGATTTTCATGTCGCCGACCAACAGCTTAGCATTCATGAACTGGTCACCTTTCAGCGGTAGCATAACTAGCTGACAATCATTCACAATACCTCAATCACTGGGCTAAACCCTACATGTAAAGGTGTGCATAAAAATTCAATTCCATTAATTATTTTTTTAACTAAAATTTGTTCCATCAATAATTTAAGATTTTAAAGAATTTTAATTGTTAATTTGGTTCAAGAGTGTGTTAACCAAATTCCTATTACACACATAAGTATTTTTATATGCGCAATGTCCAAACATAATACATAATGTACATAAACTCTTAACTCTTTAAAAAAATTCATTGTTTTGAATGTACATAATTGTATAATAAAATGTACATAATTGTATAATATAATAAAAATAAACTCCGTCGCGTCAACTCCCCACACAACTTAACAAAATGACGTCGTTTTGGACGGGGCGGGACGCACAATGCATTGTGCACCCTGGTGCACGATATAACAATTGACAAATTATACCATGGATAATGTCTACCTTACATTGTGGACCCTGATTTAAAATAATAATCTTCAAATTGTGTGACATATTCTGTATTTGACAGATACCAATGGTTAAATTAGAATCTACAATACAAGATGCACCTTAGTCTATGGTATAACAATTACATTTTAGAGTAGGGTAGTTGAAAACCTTACAACAACAACAACAACAACAACAACAACAACAACAACAACAACAACAACAACAACAATAATAATAATAATAATAATAATAATAATAATAATAATAATAACAAATGAATTCTCTCAACTTAGTTCTCTACGTACGGCCATTCCAACACCAACAATACCATTCATTGGGTAGTGGCTTCAAACTAGCATGATAATGCAATGTATGGTCCTACTTGGACAGGTAATTAAGGCTTTTAAATGTCTATGAAATAAATAACTTAAGAAATGCTTAATACTTGGATAGTAAATTGTGACACGATGTTGACCTTAATTCATTTTGTTAAAATCAAACCGCAACAAACATATATAATACATTGTCAGACGCAACTTACCTTAATTAACGCGTATTGATGGGTTACCAGCAATATTCGCTGATCGGATGTTATCGCCATGTTATTTCCTTTGTTCTATAGGTTTTGAGTAGAAGTCTGAGAGCGCTAGACGTGGATCGCTAGATAGATTAGCTGTCCTGTGTAGACGTTATGTTTTGTTGGCCTGTGAGCCTAGTTAGCGGCGTGTGTGCCTTGACACTTTATGACTTGTTTGAATTGATAGTTTTTCCCGCCTGTGCACCTATGTCTGGGATAGGTGTGGCATAACATACCCTGATTTTATATAGCTTCCGTTGCTTTATGTCTTGATGATTAGATGTTCTCTTGTGCTTTTAAGTTTTAAAAATGTGGTAAAAATCGGGGGTGTTACAGTTGGTATCAGAGCCTAGGTTTGAGCCTAGGATGTTAGGATTTGGACTTTAAGAAGTTAAGTGAGGTTTGAGACCATAAGATGACCCTTAAGTACCTAAGTGTTTAGGACTTAGGGTTGTTAGGACGCGTGGTGAGCTGTGTGTTGTTTGTCGTTTGTTATGTTTACTTCATTGTTTCTGATTAGTTTTAGCGTTCTCGCCGTTAGCGTCGGGTAAGGGTGCGTTGTTTGTTTGTGCCTTCAGTAACCGTGTTGTTTCTGTAGAAGTCTCGCCATGGTTCCGCCTCGTCATCGCGCCCGTACGCCAACCAACGAGCAGCTGGCTCAGAACCTATAGCATCTGACACAAACGATGCAGACGCTGAGTGAAGCCCTTCTGCACAACAACAACCCTGCTCCTCCGCCGCCGCCTGCCGGGAATCGGGATGTGGGACGCTTAGTCTCGGGGCATAGGCCGCTAGTTTTCGCCGGAGAGGAGGATCCTGTGATAATCGAGGAGTGGATCCGGTCCCTCGATAAGATCTTCACCGTTGTGGGTTGTCTTGAGGATCGCCGCGTGGAGCTGGCTTCTTTCTACTTCAGTCACGAGGCTGATCTCTGGTGGGTGCACGAGGGACCCGCGTGCCAAAAAGAGCCTGGTTTCGACTGGTCAGCCCTGAAGGACAAGATGAGGGAGAGGTTCTATCCATCTCACGTCCGAGCCGCCATGTACGAGGAGTTCTTACATCTTCAGCAGGGGTCGTCATCCTTGGTGGAGTACCACAAGCGTTTCCTTGAGCTCGCTCGTTTTGCTCGGATGCTGGTTCCCACCGAGCTAGCAAAAGTGGAGAAGTTTGTGGCGAGGCTCAACTATGAAGCCCGGAAGGCGTTAACTGTGAGCAAGCCTAGGACGCTGAATGAGGCTTATCTGAGCGCGACCGATCTGTATCGAGTGCAACAGCTGCAGCGAGGGTCGTTTGAGTTCGCCAAGAAGAGAAATGAAGGAAATGGGTCCCACAGTTTCAAGAAGCCGAGACAAGATTTTAAAGCTAGACCTGCGCCTCCTCCGTCGCAAGGATCAACTCGGGTCGAGAGTAGAGCTCAAGGGAGGACTTCTGGATGCAAGAGATGTGGGAAAGACCATGTTGGGAAGGATTGCCAAGGGAACGTGCTTCGGTGTTTCAAGTGCGGGGAAATGGGTCACAAAGCTTTCGAGTGCCCTCCCCAAGCTAATCAGAGAGCCTTACCATCCAATGCGAGACCTAGTGGACCTTCGGGAGGGAGCTCCGGGCAAGGTGTGGCAGGGACAAGGCCTTCGGGCAGAGTGTTCGTGATGGGCCGGTCGCAGGCCGAGACTGAGGGTTTGATGGAGGAAGAATCGGCAAGTAACCTTTCTTAAGCCTACCTTTTATCTTGAGAGTGTGCCTTTCTTGTGTTTCCCATATCTTTTGTTGTGTGATTCTCTTGTATCCTCCGAGTGATTTTCCCTTGTGATTTGATTGCTAATTCTGAGTGGTTTAATGTTCATTCTAATCCCGGAGCTTTATGGGTATACATTTAATTCAAACCTCACTCCTTCGTGTCATCTAAGCGTAATTCGTTAATTTAAAGATTAGACTAGCCAAGTATTAACGAAACTTCTTAAGTTAAGCCTTAAAAAAAAAAAGAAAAAATAACTAAAAGGAGGTTAATTCATAGTTAGTGAGTTTCAACCCCAGGTCTCTAAGTTTTTAACCCAACCCTTAAACCATCTAAACCAATCATGTTTCTTGAACCCTATTTCATTTAAATTCCTTTTAACCTATAATTTCCAACTTACCCCAAAAATCCCCAAATTAAAATCTTCTTTTTCCCAAATTTCCCTAAAATTTCCCAAAACCCTTCCCCTCTTTTCTCCCTCAACCCGTGCGTAGCAGCAACCGAAACCACCCACCCTAACCGTCGCCGCCCTCCACCCGCCGGCGACCAGCCCTCGTCAGCCTTGCCATCGCCACTGCATCGACCGCCGGAGCTCGCCGTCGCCGCCTTGCCGTCGCCCAGCCGAAAATGTTATTTAATTTTATTTTATATACACTATAATTTCATTAAAACACAACTACATGATCATTTCAATATAATTACAGCTTCATTGTACAATATACGCTCAAATATGTGAAATATTATTCAGTTTCATTTTATATATACTGTAGTTTTATTTTGCCACAACTAGAGTATCATTTTGATATAACTGCAGTTTCATTTGATAATATAAAAATAATACGTGAGACAGTGTCGATTTAGACACACTGTAGTGTCACTCCGTTATAACTGCAGAAACGGCGTCGTTTTGACACGCAGTGCATAATTGATTATGCACCGCGGTGCACGATATAACGACGCTATTTTTTCTATCCATTATAGGCCTAACTCTCATGGGCTCTTATTAGTATAGTAGATGTATATAAAAAAAAAAAAAAAAAAAACAGGAAAAATGAATATAAATCAATGGTATAACTTTTATTAAGACTTATTATGTTTATATAATAAAAGAGTTGTACTACATGTACTCACTAATCTTACTCCCTAAGTTTTACTCCCTGATGGTGAATTTTGATAAGTTATTTTTTTTCATGTGAGTCCTAATACAAATGTATATATCAAAATTTTATGTATGAAAATACAAGTTGAGAGTATAATATGAGAGTACATGTAGCATTTTCCATAATAAAATGACAAATACGCCATTAAATTTTATCACAAGTGTTTATGTATGGTGAATTGGTAGTCAGGTTGATGGTTTAATGCGTCAGTGTTTGTCTGGCAATAATGGGATTGCTACTTTACAGGGCACAATCGGGTAAGTAGTTGTTATATCATAGTCCAGGAGCATCTTACAATAGGACAATTTATGTTGTGGAACTATGTACACCTTACAAAGTAAATACAGTTCTAAAACTGTTTGTAATTATAAATATATAGTTCAAAAATTATGAACATATAATTCTATAATTATGAATATAAAGTTGTGAACATAATTATGAACATATAGTTCTGTAATTATGAATATGAAGTTCAAAAATTATGAATATATAATTTTATAATTATGAACATATAGTTCAGTAATTATGAACATAGTACCGATTCAACTTGCAAAGTAGACACGGTTTCACAGTATAACGATTGAAGATAAATTATGAACATGTAATATGTAAATGATGTATCTTTAGATTCATAATCATCTTGCAATGTGGACAGGGTAATAAATTACCACAATCGGTGGGTGGGTGGTGTTAATTAATAGACAAAGAAAAGATGGATGCTAATTACCTGCATGGGTAGTGGCTACGTACGGCCATTCCAACACCAACAATACCATTCATTGGGTAGTGGCTTGAAACTAGAATGATAATGCATGGTCCTACTTGGATAGGTAATATGAAATAAATAACTTAAGAAATGCTTAATACTTGGATAGTACATTGTGACACGATGTTGACCTTAATTCATTTTGTTAAAATCAAACCACAACAAACTTATATAATACATTGTCAGACGCAATTTACCTTCAACAAAGTTAATTATGATAATATATGATACACGATAATAAAGAAAATCTTTTATTAATTATAATAATATATAATACATCCAAAGTTACAAGTATCCTTCAACAACAAACATAATCCATTATTAAAGTAATTCATCTTTATTCATTACACCATAAATCAAATTACAACAAACATAAATCAAACTACTGCAACAAACATAATACATTCTTACACATAATTCACTTTTATTCACTCTGATCTGCCATAAATCAAACCACAATCAATATTGTTTCATTTAGTTCATGGTAGCCATATCCCTCATGACCTTAACCAAATCCTTGATGAATTTGCTTTGAATCTCTTTGTCAAGCAAAAACTCTTTCCACTTTTCCTGGTTTGCCCTTGTTGATGCTCCTTCTTCTCCCATGATTGTTTGTACAGCTTTCTGAATATCCTCTTTCCAGAAATACCCATCTTCATCTCTTCTGTTTACCTCCACACCGGCTTTCATGTCATCGGCCAACAACTTAGCATTCAAGAACTGATCGCCTTTCTGCGGTAACATAACTAGCTGACAGTCATTCACAATACCTTCAATCACTGAGCTGAACCCTACATGTAAAGGTACGCATAAAAATTCAATTCTATTAATTATTTTTAACTAAAATATTTTGGTTTGATCAATAATTTAAGATTTTAAATATATATATATATATATATATATATATATATATATATATTTGGTGAGGAAAGAGAGGCTAAGCCTCAAAACTATCTAATTCTACAATTGAGTATTCCCCAAGCATCACGAGCCAAATGAACTGCCAATCCTCCATAGCATCAGTGAACACCCAGGTGCCCCAGTCTTTCTCTTGAGCCACACACACACACACACACATATTCACACTAGTATTTTATATGCACGATGCGCAAAAATATATGTCCAATATTAATAATATATTAAAATATTTTTTAAGTAAGAGTATATAATTTTTTTAATTTATAGTTTCAGGATTGAATTCATATATAGTTGATAAAATCAGCATATCATATCAGCATTGAAATACAAATCATTATTATATAGTTAATATTATTAAAGTAAGAATTTTAAATATGATAATTTATTAAATATAATTATGGTAATATGTAATTAAAAGGTAAATGGAATCAAATTTATTTCTTATTATATTACTCCAGTATATAATTGTTGCACACATTATAATCATCGAAGAATATATAAGAAAAGATATTGTGTATGTATGTGCATGATAATAATAATGGTAAAAGATAATAGGAATTATAACGATAGATATATTTTTGTCTAAGAAATTATATAGTGTAACTTTTATAGTATAATAATATATAAATAATAGAAAAAATGAATATAAATCAATATTATAATTTTTATTGAGACTTTTTTTTTTTAATACTATTGAAACTTATTATGTTTATATAAAATGACAATGCACCATTAAATTTTATCACGTGTGTTTATATATGGGTGAATTGGTTGTCAGGTTGATGGTTTCATGAGTCACTGTTTGTCTGGCAATAATGGGATTGCAACTTTACAGGGCACATTCGGGTTAGTAGTTGTTATATCACAGATTAGGGTTCATCTTATAAGGTGTATTCCGATTTTAAATTGTGTATTTTTAGTATTGAAATTGTGAATATATAAAATACAAAAAATTATGTTATGGAACCGTGTTTATCTTGTAAGTTAGACACGATTCAAAAACTGTTTATAATTATGAATATATAGTTCAAAAATTATGAACATATAGTTGTGAACATAATTATGAACATATAGTTCTGTAATTATGAATATAGAGATTCAATAATTGTGAATATGAAATTCAAAAATTATGAATATATAACTATATAATTATGAACATATAGTTTAGTAATTATAAAAATAGAATTCTATAATTAGAAATATAGAGTTCAATAATTATAAATATGAAGTTAAAAAATTATAAATATATAGTTTTATAATTATGAACATAAAACCGTGTTCAACTTGTAAGGTAGACACGATTTCACAATATAATAATTGAAGATAAATTATGAATATTTAGTATGTAAATTGTATATTTTTATATTAGCCGGGTAGTAAATTACCACAATCGGTGGATGGGTGGTGTTAATTAATAGACAAAGAAAAGATGGACGTTAATTACCTGCATGGCAGACGTAGCATCCCACGCTGCTATGAACTAGGATCTGCTGCTGCTGCACCCACCCTGAATGGATGATCCCTCTTCCCTTCACCCTCTCCGTGAACCCCGCCGGAAGGGCCCGGTTGAGCTCGGAAGCCACGTCAACATTGGCCGGAAAGTTCAGCACCAGAAAGAATGGAAGGCCGGTGAGTTCCAATCCTAGGGCCAGTTCTTTAATCTGATCGTCTTTCAAGAACGTTTCGCTCCCAAAAGAACAGTATATTACAGTGCTGGGTTCAAACTGGCTTAGCCAATCAGCCCATTTCTGGTCTAGCACGCCGGAGGCCGGCTCCGGCACCACCGGACCGGCGAGTAGAAGAGGCTTCTTGAATTGGGATTTCACGTAATCTATATACGGCGCTTCCATTTCGTAACAGGTCTTTGCTAGTATGGCGGAGCAGCCGTTTAGGCCGGCGAGAACGCGGTCGTACACGGAGGCGCCGCCGTTATGGGGTCTCTTGAAGATGATCACAAAATCTCGAGCTTCAAAGGTTCTCAAGGAAGCGACAGAAGTCGGAGGAAAACCCGGTGGCGGTTTCTTCATTTCTTCGACGGTGGGGGATCTTTCGGGGCCTGGAAGCCTGGCGGGGACGGTGGCAAAGGCGGTGGCCAGTGCAACAAAGACGGAGAAAAATATGGTTTTAATCCCGAGCTCCGCCGCGAGCGGCGGAAGCCAATTCTGGGCAAAATCAAAGATCACAAAATGGGGTTTGAGTTCAACGAGGAGCGCCTTGATCTGAGGCTGCATGAGGTTGAGAGCCACCGGGAGTAGCTCCGCGGCTGCCGGCGGAAAGTCTGCAGTGCTCTGAGTTCCCGGAGGAAGGCCCTCCACGGCGGGGAGCGCGAGAGGAACTATCTGAGTACATGGGTTCGAATTCAACATGGATTTAATCCGGTCGACGTTTCCGGCAGCCGAGAAGAAGGAAATCTTGACTCCATGAACGGATAGCTTGTTGGATAGCTGCACAAATGGGCTTATATGACCAAATGCAAAAAATGGAAATATCACAACATGAAGAAGATCACCACCATGATTATTTGTAGTCTCCCTCTCCATTATTCTTGATTTTCCGGTCGCCACTCTACTTTTTGCAGGAAGTTCTTCACCCTTATATATATAGCACACATTCCATGTTTTGTAATTAATTAGCTGGACTATTTGCAGAAAAGGGGTTGATAAATTTGCTTTACTTTTAGAGCAAATATCAATTTTGGACCTGGGAGTATTAGTAAAATGACAATTTTGGTTTTAATTTTTATCCACGACTATTATTTTAGTATTTATTTTCATTCAAGTTTTTTTTATTTTTTATTTTTTATTTTTTATGATGAAGATATCATGACTATTGTTTTAGTGCGAAAATTCATCACGTTGGTCAAGAACAAAGATAGAAAAATGAATAAGATCGAACAAGATTTACTTGCTTCGGTTGTTTGCCTACATCCACGATAGGAAAGGAAATCTTTAACGTCATATTAATTATGATAATATATAATACGTCCAAGGTTACAAGTATCATGTTGGATATCCGTTGGTGAAAAACAAATAATAATCAAATTAAATAAGATTATTATTTTTCTGGAAAGTAAGGGAAGGAAAGATGGAGAATTTGGCTAGTGTTTGGTGTTGGGTTTTTGCAAGAGTCAAGCGATCACTCTTTCCTTAAAACCTTATTTGCCACCTTCCAAAAGTGCTAGGAGCTTTGTGGCCTAGGCTTCCCAGGATAAAATTTGCTTATGATTCAATGTTTGAGCACCCAAACAAGGAATCTGGCGAACAAAGCAAGGTTATGAACATAGTAAGCTTTAAGAAAGGAGTAGAAACAAAATTTTGAGGCTTGGAAAGCAAGATTTCGTGTAGTGTATTTGTCCTATTGTGTCCGTAAAATCTGCTTCTTCCTACCTCTCTTATATAGGGATGGAGGAGTTAATAGCCTTTATTATGGCAATTAAAACTGACATTAAAGCTGACTTCCAACAGCTATAACAACAGGCCACTACCTGGGAATTGAATTCAGAATTCAAAATGGGAGTTAATAGAAAATTGATTCCGTAACAGATGAATTCAATTTCCATAATAGTCAGAACTTTCGGTCTGGCCTGTTCAGTCATTTTTCGGCCATATGGCCGATAGTTTCCGTCCGCAAGGCTAGCCAATTTCCGGACGACATTCGTGCCCGCAGGTGCCGGCGCACACGAGCTGGACCGACTAACCTCCAGCCATAGTTCTTGAGACGGTTGAGCGATCCGGACTGCTGCGGAGATAACGAGTATTTTGTCTCTCACTTTACTCAGCTCTCTCTAGATGGTGTATGAGGTATGTAATGTGAGCAGTGAAAGGACTAGTGACCTTATATAACTACTGACCATCATTATGGTTGTATGTCTTTAGGTCTCTTCTAAACCCTAACCAAACTCCTAATCATAATGGTAGTCTAGCTATTAGGTTATTAGTGTTGCACCACATATCAAACACTGAATATTATCATAACTTATCCTAATGTTATAATAATAGTAACGGATAAACGTTACATTTTCCCACTTGGTGCAAGCACTACCACTCAATAACAGAAAAACATCAACCATAATGATATCACTAGTACAGATTTACACATCCGCTACCCTTGTAAAGGGTTATCCGCTACCCTTGTACAAGGGTAGCGTATGTGGGGGACGCTGAAAGTCCTGCGGTTTCTGTGTCCCTTTTACGAGGGTAGCGGATATCATAATTTATTATTATTTTTAATGCAGATTTTTTTTTAAATAATTATTCATTAATTTTAAATTCCCTAATCATTTTAATCATATATAAAGTTCATTCACTACAAATCAACAAAATATTAATCATCAACATAATATTATCAACAAATTATATATTAACACATCAATTAAATGATAACAAATATTACACACCAAATAAAATTAAATAAATAAAAAAAGACACTACAGAAATCTGGAATTGCATTGTGAACAGGGAAAGAAAATGTAATTCAAAATGCAAGTCAACAATGAAAGAAGATAAGAACAACGAAAAATTAAAGAAATGCAAAAAAAAAAGAAAAAAAAAAAGAAAAAAAAATGACAGTCACGAGCATATATTCTTGCTTCGGCAGTCTTCTTCTTCGCCCTCTACAATTTCGCGTTGCCGTCTGTCCGACAGTCTTCTTCCTCTGCTTCGTCTCTTGCCGTTGTCGCCCCGCGTCTTTGCTTGCTTCACCATCTACAGCTTCGCGATGTACAGAAGCTTTGGCTCTTCGACTACCAAGCAGCGGTGGCCTCCGGGATTTCCAGATCTGAAGAAAAAAAGGGGATGATGGTGGCGGTTCCGGATGTTGGTGGTGGTGCCGGTGAGAAGAGAGAAGTGTTGACAGCTTTGTGAGACCCTTATTACTAGATCTATGCCATCGAAACCATTCCCTCACGATTTGAACGGCTAATGACAAAGAAGCCGTGCGACCAAGCTATAAATCTGGTTGTCGAAGTCGTCGTCACAATCGCCAACAAGTCGCCGCCGTCGAAGCACTACCCCCCACCAACAAGCGTCGTCGTGAGGCCACCGTCGAAGCACTACCCGATGGTGTCTCATTAGAAGCAGAGAGGAGAAGATTTAAAGGTTCGCCGGTTGAACTAAAGAGAAGAAAAGAGAAGATTTGTATGTTTTGGTGGATTTGGTTGAAATGAGAAGAGATCTGATAGATTTGAAGGGTTTGAAATTTGGATGGCCTTAATTTGTAGATCTGAAGTCTGAAGGCATAAAGCTAATCCATGGCTTATATAATTTAATTTTCTGCTCCTCTTTCTCATAGAAAGGGTAGCAGACAATTATATTAATTTAAAATTAATATAACTATCCGCTAACCTTTCTACGAAGGAAAGTAGCGGAAAACATATACTTATTTTTCCCTTTATTTTTAAACAATACACTACCCTTGTTTGAAGAAGGGTAGTTTAAAGTCAAATTTCTTTGCTCCTTTTTAGTACTAGTGTATGTTCTCATTAGCGCGAGTAGTATCCATTATGACCAAATGCAAACTGCCATTGAGCACTTAATGAGGAAACAAAACCCAACGAAATAAACCCTATGTTTATTCCAAGTCCCTGAAGTACATTTTCTCATCAATATGAAGCAAATAAAGGGGTACACACTTAATTGAGAAAATGTCTGAATGTATATACAAATCACAAAGTGGATGAAAGTCTCATAAACTAGAGCCCACTGATAATTGTACCACAAAATAGTCACTTAAGTCTTAACATGTCATTTTATGCCATTTTAAGCTATTTTTCTAACAAACCCCACATGAATGAAAAATTGATTTTCGGGGTATTTTGAAATCAGAAACAAGTGTGTTCAAACGGTCGATCCCTGCATAGGATAGGTAGGGAATCACTATACCCTTTGAACCTTCCCTTGTGAAGACATGTTTACTCTACTGGCTGTACGGTAGAACGCGATGTCTTTGAACCGACTACCGTTTGTGTAGACGATGACATATCTCACACAGGAACCTCCCAACCATGCTCTTGACCTCACGAGTGTGCCCGTTCCTGGTTCTGCGAGAGTTTCTAAAGAATTGTTGCCCATCAATTCTCCTTTGAAGCGACCCTCACTTCTCTCTAACATAGGTGATTCTTTCTCGAGTATCCCGCATACGAGGGATACTTGGATAGTACATTGTGACATTGTGACACGATGTTGACCATAATTCATTTTGTTAAAATCAAACCGCAACAAACATATATAATACAATGTCAGACGCAATTTACCTTAATTAATTCATTTCACAATAAATCAAACAATAACAAATACTAGTAAGTATCCTGTGCATTATTAATTTAACAAATGAGCAAATTACACTTTTGGTCCTATGACTATAGGGGGCGTGTTAATTTCGCTCCATGACTTTTAAAACTAACAATTTAGTCCTTTAACTATGCTTTTTTAGAAGAATTGGTCCTTTCGGCCAAATCACCGGTGGAAATTTTCCGGAAAAGCTTAAACCTTTTTAAATTTTTTATTCATGAGGGCAAAATAGTCTTTTTACGTAAGCTGCTTCTTCTTCTTCGCGTTCATGAGCTACGGCTAACAGTTGCCTCTGCTTCCAAGAAAGAACAGCTCCAAGAATCGAAGCCCCAGGTTCAGAAGCAAGGTATGATTTTTATCCTCAGCTTTTTCTTCATGTCTACTGCGCATTTGTTGATTCATCTTCCCCAGATCATACGGTATATGATAAGTGCATTTTTGTCTATATTTATACCCATTCTTGAACCCATTTTATTTGTGAATTGCTTAAAAACTTTTATGAATTGTGACTAAGTTATGTTGGTTTTATTTCAAGGTGCAATCATTCACAACAAGTGAGAAATTCAATAATTTTGGAAAGATCATAACAATTCTTGGACCAAGAGATCAATCAAAGAGTTTGGAATGCATTTAGGAATTTCTGGAGTACCGTACTGCCTCCCGTACGCCCATCCATCAGCCCATCCAAGATCGGAAAAAAGAAGTAGGTGGCGTACGCCCTGCCGTACGCCCGTACCATGTCAGTACGCATCTCTTCTCCCTGATCCAGTTTTCACTGGAAATGCACCAAAAATCGTACCCCCTAGCGTACGCCCATCCAAGAGGCCGTCCCAACCTGCTCTGCCTCTTTTTAACCCCGTTCTCTCTCATTTCTACATGGTTTTGGACCTTGTTCCAACCCTAGACATTTCCTTTCACTTCCTTTCATATTTTTAGGTTAGATTATGCTTAGATTTAGGTTTCTTAACACTTTTGAAGCTTGTAATCTTGGATTTGAAGCTTGGATTCCAACATTTGAAGATTGTTCTTCCATTTTCAATACATAAGTTCTTACTTCCTTTTATCTCTTTCTTTTGCAATATTTATGTTTGTTACGTATGCTTTTGTGTTCTTTATGCTATTTAATCATGAGTAGTTAGTTTATGGACTTGAGTTAGGGTTGTATTTTCTATCTTGATGCTTGATTTGTGATTATTGCAAAAAGGTGAAGAATAACTCTAACCTAGGGTTCATGTGTTTGTGAAGGTTTTGTATTTATATCTTGTTAATGTTTGATGTACACTTTCATTAGCTTGTTTTTGGAGGATTCCTTGCCTCAACGAGAGTTGGGTGATGAATACAAGCCACCCCTTGCATAGACCCGATTTCTTCCTACGAAAATTGGGGAAATTGGGGGCTTTAGATGCTTTGTGTGCTTGATGGACTTAGAATTGATTCACCACGAAAGTGGGTCAATTCCTTGTTCTAATCCTTGTTTATTAATCACGAGAATGGTTCGTAGACTAGGATACCTACGTGCATTCCCGCTTGTTTCCTTGGTTACTTGTTCTCCCTAATCCCTTAGGTTGTTAAAGCATCTAGATGATAATGTTCCCTAGCTTGAGTCTTATCTCTTTATTTTGTGTTTATCTTTGTGTATATGTGTTAGTCTTATCATTTCCTTAAACTTGTAGTTTGCTTAGCTTCTTGTTGATTTCATTATGCTAGTGCCTAGTTTATTGTGATTGCATATTGCGTGCCATATCCCACAATCCCCTGAGGACGATATAACACACCTGAGCTCACATCTTAGTTTTGCTACATCAGTATAAAGCTCTATAAAAGATCTAAACTCCCAGAAATATTCTTCTCCCTATTCTAGCCACAACCATCCTCCCAATTCCAGCCACGACCAAAACATAATTGTAGTATTGGTTGTGGTCTTGTGGATGATGGTTTATTTATAGTGTTGAAGTAGGTGTAGATGTTCATGTAAATATTGATTTTAAATTTTAAATTTATCTCCCATCAATTAATGTTAGAAACATAACATAATTATTGCAATGTTGATAAGTGCTTATTTGTCTATATTTCCCCCCCTTTCACTAAGCCATTTTGCTTATAGATCATTCCAAATTTCATGAGATTATGATTAAATTGTGTTATTTCGCAAGGAGTTTTGTTTGGAAACAAAGATGAGTATTTTCAGGCATTTTGGTGGATATTGGAGTCAAGTGGAACATTATGGATACATTTAGAGTCCATGGGAGCCAAGGAAAAGCTAAGAGGATGGGCAAAACTATTGGAGGAAAAAAATAAAAAAAACTCTTTATTGTATTTTCCTAATCTTTCTATAACCGTTTTCTTTCCTGCTTTCCTGTTTCTTTCCTTTTATATTGTAAAGGTTCAGCTTGAATAATCGACTCTCCATACATTCATCTTCTCAGTCTCGTTTTCTCTCTGCTTCTCATCACACATGTGATCAAACTTTGACATGGTATCAGAGCCACCATGGTGGTTCACCTACGCCGCCGCCGGCATCGGAGAGTCCAGTCGAAGAAGCCATCCGACGACTCTTGATGCTCGATCGCCTTTGCGATCTTCTCCGATCAATCCGTAAAAGGATATTGCTACGCAGAGTAGCAATAATGCCGTCGCTGGATCTCCAATCCGATCAGCAACAGCAACGATTCCGCAGAGGAATTTGCGACTTCTCCGATCAATCCGCAGAAGGATATTGCTACGCAGAGTAGCAACAATGCCATCGCTGGATCTCCAATCCGATCAGCAACAACAACGATTCGACAGAGGAATCTAAATTCACAGCAGCAGAGAAGCCAAAATCCAGAAGATAAGGCGACCTCCATAGCCGTTCCGCAGCGGAATGAAGGAGCTCGTTCGTCAATTCTGAGTCGATCTTCAGTTTAGGTGACCTCCACAACCGTTTCGCAGCAGAAGGAAGGAGTTCTCAGTCAGAAACAGATGGAACAATCTTCCGATTCAGCCACAGCGGTTGTATCTCTCCATCTGAAATTCGTTCAGAGAGCCATGGCGATTAGAGCTTTTATTCTCGCTCTGTCTCTCTCTCTCTCTTTGCCGCTTAAATGTTGTCCTTAATCGGTCTGGTAGTTTTGATATTGCTACTGCAGAGAATGTTGTAATGTGTGGAAGTTTAGGTTTAGGCTCTGATTCGTATTCTAAATCTCAGATTGGATTGAAGATGGGTCGAAGGAGATCCAGCAGGGACAAAATGATCTCCATAATCTGTATCTTCTTCTTCCTCGTTTCATCTGCACATTCTTTCCACCTCCTTGATGTTGCTCCTTGAGATTTTCCAGCAGAAAATTTAGGGGAGGTTCTTCTAGGTGTTCGTAAGGCTGATTTAAGTGGAGCGGTTGTAAGTAGCAGGCCCATTCTAATTGGCCTAGTTCCTTCAGCAGAAACAAAGCCTCCAAGTGCGGATTCAGTTCATGTACTGCTTGAGCAAGCACTGCATGCTGATGATCGAGCCCTTCTAATAGATTGTTTATTCAGACAAGATCAGAAGCTCATTGAGTCCCGTGTTTCTACTTCAAGCCAAGCTCTTCAGTTAGCCAGTAGTTTAGACTTGCTTTATGCTGGAACGATTGATTATGGCACAGATGAAGATGTTTGTGCCTCATCTGTTACTAAACATGTTAGGGTACAAGATTCAGCAGCCAAAACTGCAGATTTTGATGATGATGAAGGGGGTGGACTGACATTAAATGCACAGTCAAGAGCAATGCTGGTGCAAAAGTTAGATTGGAGTGGCATAGCCTCCAGTATTACGGGTTCACTTGGGGTGTCTGGACTTAATGGTGCAGCTCCATCCCAGGCAGCTATTAGCTTAATGTTGAAGAATATGTTTGATCCAGCTATGTAAACTGATCCAGAAAGAGATCAAAGAATTGTTTTTGCTTATCAGATGCCCCTGAAGGCAGCTGAAAGGGATGTGTATGAGTTTTTCTCACAAGCTGGAAAGGTGAGGGATGTACGTCTGATCATGGACCGAAATTCAAGGAGATCGAAAGGAGTTGGGTATATTGAATTTTATGATGACATGTCTGTCCCAATGGCCATTGCCTTATCTAGACACTTACTGCTTGGGCAGCCTGTTATGGTTAAACCCTCACAAGCTGAAAAGAATCTTGTTCAATCAAATACTGTTACTGGTGGAGCAGGTGTTACTGGACTATATGCTGCCTCAGAAAGGAAATTGTATGTTGGAAATCTGCACTTCAACATGACAGAATTACAGCTTAAACAGATTTTTGAAGTTTTTGGTCTAGTTGAGCTTGTGCAGCTACCTACCAATCCAGAAACAGGACATTGCAAAGTTTTTGGCTTTGTTCAATTTACTCAACTTGAACATGCTAAGGCAGCACAGAGTTTGAATGGAAAATGCAGAGATTGCTGGTCGAACAATCAAGGTTTCATCTGCTACTATCATCCTTAGTCCTGAAGAGTCAACAGTAGGAATTTTGTGGGCTACATCTTATGGCATCAAAAGCTTGATGACTTGGTGGTTAAAAGCAAAGACCTCTGGATTGTGGAATTCTTTTGTGTTTAAGCTGGGCGTGCATGATCTACACGCTCCAGCTTACGGGGGGTGTTGGAGGATAAAAATAAAACAAATCTTTATTGTATTTTCCTAATCTTTCTATAACCGTTTTCTTTCATTCTTTCCTGTTTCTTTCCTTTTATATTGTAAAGGTTCAGCTTGAATAATCGACTCTCCATACATTCATCTTCTAAGTCTCGTTTTCTCTCTGCTTCTCATCACACATGTGATCAAACTTTGACAAAAACACTTCCAAGGATGCCTAAGAGTGGTGTATTTAATGGTCTTGGTCATTTGAGCAAACCAAAGCAAAAGAGAAGCAAAAGATCAATGCATTACAATTCCTGACCTGCACGTCGACGTCATAGTCTTTGGATCATATCTCGATCTAAAAATGTCCAATTGAAGTGATTCTTATGTCATTAGAAAGCTAACTCAAAGGGATGAAACTCCAATTCAAACACCAAAGCCTAAAAATGAAGCCATAATGGTCAAAATCATCCTTGAAGTTGAAGTTCCGAACTTACAGATTTCGTCCAAAATTGAACACTGTTCGGTAATTTGATCATATATCAAACTAGGAATGTTTAAATAAAGTGATTCTTGCACCATTGGAAAGAAGACTCGAAGGGATACAACTTTCATGAAGACATCAAAGCCTAATTCTGAGCATAAAGTGGTCAAAATCAGCCTACAAGTCTGATTTGCGTTGCAGAGAAGCACTCGACGCGTCGAATCTTGGCAGTAAGGTCGCGATTTGCATTCTGTAAATGCCCGACGCGTCGAGAATTACGCTCGACATGTCGAGCCCCCCATATCTGCTCTATTTTAGCTGAGTTTTCACTCATTTCTACTCGGTTTTGAACCCCATTCGAACCCTAACTATTTCTACTCTTTCCTTTCATATTTTAGTGTTAGATTATGTGTAGATTTAGGTTCTTTATCATATTTCTAGCTTGTATTGAAGGATCTACACTTGGATTTCAAGATTCTACCATCATTTCAATAAATAATCTTCTTTTCCCCTTTTATCTCTTTATCTTGCAATGTTTATGCTTTACACTTGTGTTTTTGTGTTCTTTATTCTATTTAATCATGAGTAGTTAGTTTATGGACTTGAGTTAGAGTTGTATTATCTATCTTGATGCTTGATTTATGATTATTGCAAAAAGGGGAAGAACACTAACCTAGGGTTCTTGAGTTTATGAAGGATTTGTGTTTGTATATTGTCAATGTTTGGTGTACAACATTCATTATTATTATTATTATTATTATTATTATTATTATTATTATTATTATTATTATTATTATTTATTATTATTATACTCTTAGGTCATTTTACATGTTAATCTAAACGGATAATTGTTTCAAATATCTTTTTACCAACCGTTGATATAATTCGCTAGTCAAATCCGCTAATATAGTCCACTGGTCAAATCCGCTAATATAATCTACTGGTCAAATCCGCTAATATAATTCGCTAACGCTATCTGCTAGCTGTTGATTGCCAAACAAAGACATTGCAAGATAGTTTCCACTTCAATTTGTTGTGTGATTTGAATACTCCCTACCTTTGTCAACAAATCCCTCAAGTAGTTAATATGATTGGCTTAGTTATATTTTTTTTAATTTTTTCATGGTATTAATAAAATACTTGGTAAATAAATATATAGCATTATTTTGTATTATAAATTTGATATTTAATTAAAAAAATAGTGCACAAAAAAAGATAATAGACAATATAATGTACTGAGTATATATATGATACCGAACTTTATCTTCAATGTACTATAAAAATTACTCAAGAAAAATTAAAAGAAAAAAAAAAACAAATTATATAGGTACACATCAAGAGTTAAGTACTTAAGTTGTTAAGTAACCAAACATAATTTTTAAGGTACTCAATAGAATATGTAATTGATGCCACAGCTAAATTGTGAACAAGAAGTACGAAAGTTTCACCTAAGTAACCAAACATAATTTTTAAGTTACTAAATAGAATATTTAATTGATGCCACAGCTAAATTGTGAACAAGAAGTACGAAAGTTTCACCTAAATGTTAAATCATTGAAAATAATTTCTACCTAATTAACTAGGGACCATTCTTCAAGACTTCAAGTACATTCTAAATCTAGCCATCTATCTAATCATTTTAATTTTATAAAGAAATGAAAGGCCGGAACTACAAAGTCCAATTTTATATTATGAAAAGCTTAATAAATTAATTAAATCATTGCCATTCTAATAAAGAAAATTATTATTTTTTCTATATTAAAATTATTATTCGGCAATTCGATATGTTCACATAGGCCAATTTTGCTACAGATTGGATGGTAAGTTGGTAACACATGTAAATTAGAGTCAACTTTGCTACAACCCTACAGATTGGATGGTAACACATGTACAAGACTATCATCTAAGAGTTCTATTATATAGACTCCCATAATTTTACTCTCTCATTTATACTCTTTAAGGTGACAAATTAGTTCTATTATATAGACTCCCATAATTTTACTCTCTCATTTATACTCTCTAAGGTGACAAATTAAGATTTCTGAGAGAGAGTACAAGTTGGGAAATTTAAAATGAGAGTACATCAAGTATTTTCCATTTACTTTTTTTTTTTTGAATGCTACTGGCACTGAGCCTCGAACTCACAATCTTCCAAATAAAAGTCCAATCCAGGTACCATTAGACCACATAGTCTTGGTCTCGTTATTTTTACTTGTTTATTTCTATACTAGTTTTTTACGCGCATTGTGCGATTGCGATAATGCCCAATATTTTTTTTTTAAAAAAATAAGTACTTTAAAGTATATCAATGCAATATTATATTGGAATTGTTCATGCATAGATAATTGAATGTTGAATTTACGTATTTAAATAGGTAATTTTAAGTTTACAAATGCAAGATAATAAAGTCAAGATTGATTATAATTGTCAATAAAATAATTGTATAGGTATGGTTGAAACCAAATACGGGATATAAGGGAGAGCAAATAAAAATTAAGGCATAAAATATTAAATATATACTAATATTGAAGAGCTAACTGCTGATTGCCGAACAAAGACATTGCGAGGTAGTTTCCCACTTCAATTTGTTATGTGATTTGAATACTCTTTTTGTCAATAAATCCTCCAAGTAGTTAATATGATTGGCTTAGTTATATATATATATATATATATATATATATATATATATATATATATATATATAATTAGGTTCTGGTGCGGTTGTGCGATTTAATCTGGGTCATTCATCTCACTTAAATCAACGTCCAGAATTACCAAAATTTAAAAAAAAAAAAAAAAATACGGTGGCAATTTTGTAATTTTTGCATCTAGGTCAAAATTAATGTGAGCGGATCTGTGATTAATGTGCGTGAGTTTTGTATATAAGATGCGTTAGTTTTGTGCGTAAGGTGCGTGAGGTTTGTGCTTAATGTGCATGGGGTTGTGCTTAACGTGAGTAGTTGTGTCTGTGAATTAATACTTAAAGTGCGTGGATTTTGTGCTTAATGTGCGTGAGATTGTGCTTAATGTGTGTGGGTTTTGTACTTAATGTGCGTGAGTTTGTGCTTAAGATCTAGCACTTAAGGTGTGTGTTTCTATCACTTAAGGTGCACCATTTTTAGCTTATGCTTCTTTATTCCCGACACGCATTTTTTTTGTTTTTTTTTTTTTTTTATTTTCATTGATTTGAGCCGTTGATCTAAATTTGATCAACGGCTCAGATCTAACCGCACAACCGCACGGGAAGCTATACCCGCACCTGAACCCTTCCCTATATATATATATATATATATATATATATATATATATATATATATATATATAAAACAATTATATTATTATTATTGTTATTATTATTATTATTGTATGTATACCCTTAGTTCATTTTAAATGTCAATCTAAACAGCTTATTTTTTCAAATATCTTTTTATCAACCGTTGATATAATTTGCTGGTCAAATCCGCTAACACGCTAACCGCTAACTGCTGATTGTCAAACAAGGACATTGCAAGGTAATCCTCACTTCAATTTGTTGTGTGATTTGAATACTCTCTTTGTCAACAAACCTCTCAAGTAGTTAATATGATTGACTTTATTAATTATAATTTTTTTTTAATTTTTTCGTGGTATTAATAAAATATTTGGTAAATAAATATATAGCATTATATTGTATTATAACTTTGATATTTAATTAAAAAATAGTGCACAAAAAAATAATAGACAATGTAGTGAATATAATCAATTGATAAATTTGAATGTAAAGAAGTTTTACATTGGAGAAATATAAAGACAATATAACTAATAAAATTATTTCTCTTAATTAATTTATTGATAATGAATAATTTTTTTTAAAATAAAGACATTGTGGGGACAATGTAGCGAATATAATCAAATATTGATGAATTTGAATGTAAATAATTTTTATATTGGAGAAAAATAAAGACAATATAACTAATGAAATTATTTCTCTTATTTAATTTATTGATAATGGATAATTTTTTTTGAATAAAGACATTGTAGACACATAATTCTAAATTAAAGAAATGCATATGTATTATTTTTTGTTGTAGCTACTAAATTATTATTTAATTTAATAAGAATAAAATAGATTACTAATTATGTCAACTTTGATTGGGATGAGCTTCGGACCTAAGACCTTTATTATTGAAACCGATGACTAAATTAACGGGGAATTAACAGAAAAGATAATATTTAACGGAAATTAACGGATAATCATATTCATTAAGGATAAATTAAAATATGAACACACTCTTAAGTTAAAATTCTATGACGACCCACCTTTACTATTTCTACTGATAAGTTAAAATGGGAGCAAGAGATCAAGAACAAAGATAAAAAAAAAATGAATAAGAACAAGATT